TTTGCCCTTTCATATTTTAAATATTGTATTTTACATTTTTAGTGACCTGGAAATCTAGGTTTGCCATTTCATATTTTTAATATTGTAATTGCTGTATATTTGTAGATTAGCTACTAGAGGGAGATCTTTAATTTACTGCTCAACAACTGCTGAGTTAGGACATCAGCCACATAAACAGGGCATTGTTCTTCGTATGTGTGCAGACTTAGAGACTTGCTTTGAGGATGGTTGAGTAAAGTAAAACTATTGTGTAGCACTGCAAGGCAGGTTCATTTCACTTTTGTTGAAAGAAAAAAAAAAAAAAGGAAATCCTTTCTTAAAATCTTTGTAATGTTCACAGATCACCCAAACTTTGTTGCAGTTACCTACCCGTTTGTTCTAGCATGTGCTTCCACACTGATCCCTGATTGGGAGGGGCTGCGTTCATTATATTCAGTTAGTGGACTTTGTGATGTAATAAGGGAAAAGGTGCAGTGTCCCATTAGCAGTAATTAAAAAGAACTATGACTCAAATTTTTATGCCATAGTTCTCTTTATGGTCACAGGAGGACATTTACCAATGTCTTCCTGTGACCCAGAACTCTGCATATAGCGGGCAATACGCTGACAGAGCAGAGCCACACTGCGGCCGGGAAAGATCCCGACAATATTGTCGGGATCCACCACACCCAGATTGGTGGCTTCTCTAGAGGCAGAGCAAGTTGTGCCCGCCGCCTCCCCCATCCGGAACGGAGAGGGGAATCTCTGCCGGGGGTGGTGACCGACACTCATTGCTCTGTGCGTAGATGGAGAAGATCGGGAACTGAGCGATCAGCGGTGTATGATCATTCAGTTCTCAATCAATAGAGCCAAAGTGTGACTTCTTCAGCGTCACACATTGGCTCTAATTATGGGGATGAGTGGATTTCACTCTCCCCATAATTCTCCTTTAAAAAAAAGGAGAACTATGGGGTCAGTGCTTTTCCCCATAGTTCTCCTAAGTGTAACGGGAGGACACAATCTAGCGTCCTCCCGTCACCCAAAGCCCAGTATACCACGAGCTACAGCTCGCAGTATTCCGAGTCCGCTGCAGCCGGGACGGATCCCGACTCCTGCATGGAGCCGTGACAGTCACGACTCTCTGCAGGGATAGATCGAGAAGTGAGCGAGTGACGGTATGGTTGCTAACTTCCCGATCTATTGAGCCAAGGTGTGACAGTTTCATTGTCACAGGTGGGCTAGAACTATGAGGCTGAGTGATTTTCACTCGCCTCATAGTTCTCCTTTAACCCTTAGAGAGTATTTCACCAAAAATCTAATTCCTATTGCAAGGGATGCCAAAAATGATCCTTGCATCTTAGCGCAGACTTCTGGGAAAATCAGTCAGCCAATCACCAAGGAGCAGAAAGTGACATTTCCGAGGGCGTTTCAGGCTGCTGCCTTAACAAGTACAATTTATAATTCGATGGATTTTAGGAAAGTAACAATTAAATGAAAGCCCAACTCCAGCTAACACAGTGTAAGCAGCTACAAGAAGGTTTTTTTGCTTTTCATTCTTTTTTTGGAATAAAGGTTTTAGCCACATGAAAAAAGCTAAACGTTATCACCCCCATCAGTATATTAGTTTGTGCCAGTTATTGTCAGGTCTGCTGGACAGTTTGGACTGAATATATCATGCTGGAGTAAACTAATATAAAGAAGAAAGCTACTATACAAGATCAAAAGTATTAACCCCAAACACTTACCAGAATACAACATTTTTCACTACAGGAGGTCCTTTAAGAAATGTTCAGCATCATAAATACACAGTAGCAGGAAGTAGGAAAATAAATACTTTTTCCATGTACTCCGCATGCTTTTGTTTTGAAGATATTCAAGAAATACCACAAAGCAAACAAACAATCACCTTTATCTAGAACAACGATTTCTTCTCTGAAAAGGCTTTCTGTAAGGCCAAAAGCCAGTGACGTCACTATGAAGCACGCTAGTTTTAAACTTTATTTTACAGTTTATCCGATTAACCGATTAATCGAACTTAATAATCGGCTAACTAATCGATTTTGAAAATAATCGTTAGCTGCAGCTCTAGGTGGGAGGTAGATCAAAGTGTAAGCCATGATGTGCTACTAAGACAAGGTGTGCATTGCTCATCATACAGCACACTACCATATGGATTTGTAGAATACCGCCAGCATTTGAAGCAACCGCCAGCATGGAGAAAAAACCCCCCCAAAACACTGGAGTTCCACTTTTAAGGCACAGTCCACCTTTTGCAAAATAGATGTAACGAATACACCCATAAAAACAAACAAGTAAAAAGGAGCATTATTTACTATTTATTTTTACATTGGAGCCTGTAAAGCATTGCAACTGTGATGTGTGCATCAGTGAAATGCAAAGGCTTCTGCAGACTACTCCCTTATCTTACGATTTTCGGCTGGTTTGAATGATGCGAGGGAGACAAATGCCGAATGGGCCGGTGTGCGCACGCCTGTTCAGCATTGCGGTCATCGGAAGCCGCCCCTCAGGGGGGGCGGACTTGCGATGATCGCAAGTACGATCTGCCTGTCCAAGATGGGCAGATCGTACGTTTTTTAAACATTAAACTTCCACCCAGTCGCCACTTCAGTTAAGGCCATCCCTACTCACCCCCTTGGCGACTGTAACCGGCCTGCCTTCCTCCTCCATACTTGGGCGGCAGCGGCTTCCTCCCCCTTCAAATCTGTCCCAGATGGCTGCTGTACAGAGCCCGGCGTTCCCGCATGCGATTGCAGAGTGATGCGCAGCGGAAGTGACCTCATCCGCGAGGCCCGGAAGTGCTGACACCGCCGACCTCGCTGGAACACAAGCCACGCCCCTTCCGCGTCTCACATGCGGACGCCAGACCCAGCCACCTCACCGAGGCAAGTCGTCGGGACAGGGCATCGCCGGGGAGCTCCAGGCCCCAGTCCCCCAACATAGACCAAGAGGAAGAGGACCCTGAAGAAGACAAAAAGGGACCCCTCTGCACCTACAGCACGACGGCAGGTAGTGTGAAAGACCTGCTCGCAGAGCTGCCCAGAGGGGAGACCCGTGACCACAAGGCCAACCGGTCAGGAAAAACAAGAAGAGTGACGAAGATTCCTGGACGGTAGGAAACACAAAAAAACTGAGGCAAGGAGGGGTGGGAGGGTATTTAACCACTTTTTTAATTGTGTTTCCTGTTGGAAGGAGGAGCCAATCATCTCTCATGTTGCTGGCCTGGAAGATGATTGGAGAAATGTAGGTGTATACAGGACTCTGCAGTGAGAAGAACTTTGCAATTCTGGTAAGAGGGGGGCAGTTTAGTCCTGCTGCAAATACAAGATCAATGATTTCTATGACCCACTGGAGCGCGGATGGCGTTTGGTCTGCCACCTCTGCAAATCTACTGATGATACGAATTTTCTGTGGTTGTGATGACCAAGTGTGTTATATGCGTACCTCTTGACGGCTGTGTACACCCTATTGCTGTACTTTGTTTGTACATGTTTTATAAATAAAGAATTTATTAAAAATAAAAATAAAGGGAGGGGGGCAGTTTTAGGGTGGGAGTTCAGTGCCTTAAGCCAATTACTCACTGTTCACGTATTCAGAATACAATAGCCAGCAGGGAAGATTTCCCAACCACAGTCTCATGGAAGGGGGGGGGATCTCACATTGGTTTTCTGGTTTTCTCGTTTAGCCCCCCAGGTGTCTGTGGGAGCAGGCATACCCCTGCCTTGGTGCCTCTGGGAGGAATAGTGCCCAAAGGTCAGTTAAATGCAAGTAAAGGGCCACATCGTCCCGTGGAACCACCACTCCCCCTACTCCTGGACCAATCAGTGAGAATAGTTGTGGGAGGTGCATTTCCTGCCCCTATGTGACATATAGCTGGGAAAGCACCTCTCTGAAACTGATCACTGGGTCAGGAGGGGGGAGTGGCAGTCATAGTTGTCAGCAGACTTTAGGTGAACTCAAACAAACTGGGTTCACACCAAGCCCAGGCTCATCACCAGTTCTGGCCTGTGGATTGTCCCATGACCAGCCGGGTCACTGTCTACAAGGAGTCTGCATGTCCTTCCTGTGCGTGCATGGGTTTCCTCAGAGTACTCCGGCTTCTTCCCACACTCCAAAGACATCCTGGAAGGTTCATTTGCTGCTATCTGAAATGGCCCTTGCATGTATGCGAGATAGGGACTTTAGATTGTAAGCTCCTTGGGGGCAGACACTGATGTGAATGTGCAACTACGCAGGAGGAGTAAATTGTCAGGGCTATACAATTATAAATATTCTCTCTCCAAAAAACGGGATGCATCATTTCACAACGATCATCATCAAGAATCCCATCAGCTACACCAAAATAAATAGCATAATCCCAGAATAACTGATATACGCCCAACTAATTTTTTTTTAAAAATGCAGACACAGATCTCGTCTCCCCATCATATATTAAAAAATTAAGTTATAAGGTGAGCCAGGAAGGGTTAACCAAATCCTTCCAATGCCACCGGATGCAGCATGTAGCACACGTTAGCAGAGTAAACTGGCTGGTCACGTGGCCGCTTTAGTCGGGGATTTCTAGGCTGGTATATGGCCACCATATAGCGTGTATGAATAAAAATGTCGCCGTTCTGCCTTTTGTCTAGGTCACAGCCACCACGAGTACAACACGCCATTTAGCGTCTTGTAGAAAGAGAACATCCGTCCTCTCACACGGATCATCCTCCCGCCATCCTTTGTTGGGTACACTGCGGTATATGGATGGCATAACCCGCGCCAGTTACCTCAGGACACAGCCACGCGGTCCCCTCCCTGACGAGGCGACTAACGGATCACCCCTTCCCAATAATAAAACTCGGCAGCCCTCCGTTATCCGTCACATTGATCTGTTGTCCATTAACCAGACCAAGCAGCTGCTTCATTCACAAACTCGCACACAACACGCTCGGCTGACCCCATGCGGTGTGCCCGGCTACTCCAGGCCGGTGTGCCTCCCACACGGCATACAGAACGTTACTCACTTTACCGCTCGCTGTGCCCCCGCTGACTCCGATCAGGAAAGGCGGCCTGTTCTGCGGTGTGTGGTGAGGCAGCGCTTGTTCGCTGTCTCCAGCCATGCTTCCCTGCTTTTCTAACCCTCCTTCTATGGCAGGTCCGTGCCTGACTCACGTCTCCGTGCTGTTCGTATGGCTGCTCCACCTCTTCATGACGATGCTGTGATCTCTTATTTGAGGATTTGGCGGGGGCTGGATCAGTCTCTTGTCCTCGCTGCACCGATTAGCATGTGGAGGCACCAGACTGATGCTGGGAAGTGTGTGTCATCATCTGGCCTGGCATTCATCCTCCTCACCCAGTGTAATTTGTTGAACACAAAGTACAGACGTTTGCACCTCATCACAATGAAATAATGCTTCATTAGTATCAATTGTCTCTTGTATACCCGCTTGTCTTTTTTATTTGATACTGTAAATCAGAGAAAGTGTGAAGATAGATTAAATATTACTTAGGCTGGCCATACAATGCTCTATTTTTCTCGTTCAACCCGTGGGCTGAACGAGAAAAATTAAGCAAATTCCTCCATCAACACTTAGGAAT